CAGCCCCAGAGGTACCCCTCTCCTCCAGTGCGTGTCCACACTGCAAGGCGCAGTGCGCCACCTGCTGGGGGAGAGTGGCACTGGCAGCTCCCCCACCCACATCCTAGCGGGGCGCAGGGCCGGGGCCGCTGAACAAGATGCAGTAGATCCGTCCATTGCAGAGCCAGGAGAGAACCCAGGAGTCCTGGCTCCCAGCCCCCTCCTCCTCCAACCCACTGGACCCCACGCCCCTCCCGGAGTCGCGGATAGAACCCAGGAGTCCTGGCTCCCAGCCCCCTCCTCCTCCAACCCACTAGACCCCACACCCCTCCCGGAGCCGGGGATAGAACCCAGGAGTCCTGGCTCCCAGCCCCTTCCTTCTCTAACCCACTAGACCCCACGCCCCTCCCGGAGTCACGGATAGAACCCAGGAGTCCTGGCTCCCCGTAATATTTTCTAACCACTCGACGGCCCTGCCATGGGGAGGGGTGATCTCACTGCACTATGGCCAGATGTGCGAGGGCCCCAGCAGACCCAGGGAAGGGTTGGCTCTGACAGCAGGGGGAGAGGCTCCCTCACTCCCTCAAGGCAGGTCCAGGTGGCAGGGTCGGGAGGGAGGCTGGGGCTAATAATCAATACCCAGCTCTTATCTAGCACCTCTCACCCGGGGATCCCAAAGCACTTTACAGATGGGGAAACTGAGGCACAGAGACGGGACCAGCACTTGCCCCAGGTCACCCAGCAGAACAGGGGATAGAATCCAGGGCTCCGGAGTCCCAATCCAGCAATGCAGCAGCACCCACGGAGTGGCAGAGGGGTGCAGCGCCTGTGTGTCCCTCTGGCTGCCGTGGGGTGCACCCTGCGGGGGGCTCTGCAGCACCTCATGGACCCTGCCACAGTAAGCCAGGGGGAAGCTGGCTCCCCGGGGTGGGGGGTTCTGCTCTGGGCAAGCACCACCCAAGGGGCTGGAGCAACCTGCCTGTAGGCAGCGACTGGGCCAGGCCGTGCTGGGGGGGGGGGCAGCCGATGGTCACATGGGGAACTTTGTTCCTGCCTTATCCCCTACTCGTGCTGCAGGGGAGCCTCCTCCTATTGCATTGCGCCCTCTCCACTTGTGCAGCGTGACCCCCCTGCACATCTCCCGCTAATGCACCATGA